TTTAGTGTGAGGTATGATTAATACTGACTGTGATGGCTAAATGGAGACTTGGTAGCATAGTGGGTTACTCATTGAACTGCTAACTGCAAGGTCAGCAACTTGAATCTACCGCTCTAAGGGAGAAAGATGAAGCTTTCTGCTCCCATAAAGATTTACAACCTTGGAAACCCTGTACAGGTCTCTATGAGAACCAACTCAATGGCAAACTGCAGCAACAGCAATAGCAGCAGGTTATGTCAATTTGACTGGGTCATGACAGTCAGTGGTTTGGCAGTTACGCAACAATGGCCAGGTGGTTATGTAAAAATTGGTGTTATCCAAAATTGGATGAGTACATCAGATCACAAAATGGCGAATGACTACATCATTGCATAATGGCCAGACCACTGAGATTATGGCCTGACCAAGGATTCCCATCTTTTTCACTGATTCTCTATTCTATCCACCATGATGTCCTTTTCTGGTGACGCGTCTCACCTGACAAGTCTAAAGTGAGCAAGAGAAGTCTTATCATCCTCACTTCTAAGGAACGTTTTCATTGTATCCCTTTGCTGCATAAAAAACTCCCTAATAGCTTTCCATGGCACTTAAAATATAATCCAACCTATACACCAGGGTTCTCCAGTCAGGCCCTTTATGATTCAACCTTGACTTTCCATCTCTCCCCAGTTCATTCCCAATTCAGTGTCTTTGCATTTACTGTCCCTTTGCCTAGACATTCTGCAACTAGATCTGAGTCTGCATCAACTCGAGAGCAATTCCTTGAGTATTTTATTATCTAGTTTAGCCTTCATAGTTCATAAACATTTTATTTGTAACCTATTGTCGATTATCTTTCTATTAGAATTAAGTTTCTTGGCAGCAGTAACCTAGTCTGTTTTTGTTTTGTTTTCACTGATGTAATACTGGCACTAAGAAAGCACCTTGCATATATTGTTATTGTTGTTAGGTACTGTCAAGTCAGTTCCGACCCAGAGCAACCCAAGTACAACAGAATGAAACACCACCTAGTCCTGCACCACCCTCTCAATTGCTGCTGCCACTCTATCTTGTTAGGGGTATCCTATTTTTTGCTGACACTCCACTTTGCCATAATGATGTCCTTCTCCAGGGACTGGTCTGAAGTATGACAGATGAAATCTGGACACCTTGCCTTCTAAGGATCATTCTGGTTGTACTCCCTCCAACACGGATTTGTTTGTTCTTCTGGCAGTCCATGCATCTTTAATAATCTTCTTTAACACCGTAACTCAAACACATAGTACTCAATAAGTATATACAGAGATGAAACCACACTAATGATGGCTAGAACTTAAGACAAATCTGGATTACAAAAAACTGTGACTTATTTGTAAAACTTTTTTCCCCAAACCTTTGATTTCTTTAAAACAGAAACACTCATGGGGCAAAATAAGGTGAAAAGTATTACTATAAAATCATAGACACCTCTACTACCAAAGGTATCAAAATGTGAAGTTATTTAAACCTGTATACTTCTGAAGGTGATTTTTTTCTGGCACTGTAGGTTAAGCAGTGGGCTAAAAGTTCAACAGTTCAAACCCACCAGCCACCTGTGCAAGAAAGATAAAGCTATCTGCTCCTATAAAGATCAGGTGTCCTGGAAGCCCTAAGGAACAGTTCTACTCTATTCTACATAGTTAGTTTGAGTTGGAACTGACTCAGTGACAAGGGGTAGCCCTTCCCTGAAGAATTGGACCCTCTTTAATTGCACTACAAAAAATGGCAGTTTTGGCATCCTTCTGGGGCTCAAATCCTATTCCTTTCCAATGTTCTTTAAGTTTTGTGCCTGAAGGAGCAAGATCAGGGTTGCAGAATGAACAGAGCAAGTTTTCCCAATGGAATTCTCAAAGGGCAGATCTTGCTACACATGAAAAATGAGAAGGTAACACTATCATGATGGAAAAAATTCCTCAGCGCCACTTTCCTGGCCTTTTTCTCACCAAGGCCATTTCAATTTTCTTATAAGTTCTTAATAAACCTCCATGATTATTTGAGAAAACCTATCATGATTAGCTTTTTGGAATCCTAAAAGGCAGTGGCCATAACCTTCTGAGCAGATCTCTCTGTCTTGAACTTAACTGGTCCCATATATCTCTCAGAAGTCACTGTTTTGATTGGATCTTTTTTAGAAGGCACCCTAATGAACTGGTGGTGGTGGTGGTGGGCCATGGAGTTAAATCAGACTCACAGCAACCCTGCATAGAGTTCCCGAATCTGTAAATCTTTACAGAAGCTGAAAGTCTATTTTTTTTCCTAAGGAGTAGCTGGTAGATTTGCATTGCTGACTTTGCAGTGAGCAACCCAACTCATAACCCACTATGCCACATTTCCATCTGATGAAACTAAAAGAATTTATCTGCAGTTATCCACAGATTGCTATTTAAACCCATTTTGATAGGAATATATCTGTGCACATATGAACTGGAACCACAGTAACAATATTTTTTACTTACTCCCAGAAATCCAAATTTAAATAAAAGTAACCGCAAGGTCGATGGTTCAAATTTACCAGCTGCACCTCAGAAACCCTAAACAGGGTAGCTATGAGTCAGCTCTGACTCAACAGCACTTAACAACAACTGGGACCCAAGTTTTCTTAGTCAGATTTCATATTGTTTCGTCTCTAAGTTGATTCCATCTCATAGTAATCCCATAGGACAGAACAGAACTCTATCTAGAGTCAGGCTGCTAATCTCAAGATCAGGAGTTCAATACTATCAGCTGTTCTGTGGGAGAAAGATGAGGCTTTCTGCTCTCATAAAGATTTGTAGCCTAGGAAACCCTATACAGGGTCGCTATGAGTCAGAACCAACTGATGGCACACAAGCACCACCACCACTGCCATATAGTTTCTAAGACTGTTAATCTTGAAAGATTGGTATCTTCCTTCCATGGAGCAGCTGGGAGATTCAAATTGCTCATCTTGAATACTTAAACACTCTTCCTTCATATGGTGGTGGTGATGTGCTTTGGAGTCGGTTCTGACTCATAGCGACCCTGCTTAGGGTTTCCAAGTTTGTAAACCTTTATGGGAGCAGAAAGCCTTTTTCTCCTTCCGAACAGCTGGTAGTTTCAAACTGATGACCTTGGGGTTAGCAGCTCTTCTTCCTTCATAGGTTGTTGTTAAGTGCTGTTGAGTCGATTCCAACCCATAGCGACCCTGTATAGGGTTTCCAAGGAGCAACTTGTGAACTTGAACCCACTGACCTTGCAGTTCAAATGACTTTGCAGTCTGATGAATTAGCCCACAGTGCCACAACCAGGACTCCTCTTCCTTCATATAGCTCTCTCTTAATTCACAGCTTCAAATTTAAGATCTGTTAAAAGATAAAAAAATACAGAATCAAACACTTTGGATCATCATGAAGTAATTTTCTTTCAGAGAGTAGCATGGTGAGGATGCTGTATCATACTATCTAGATATATATCCAGCTCCTCCATACTAGTGGCCTGTCTTAGGCTGTATGAAGAACCTACTGGATGCTTTCTCACAGAAGAGCATCTCCTTTGCAGTAGAGAAATGAGGCAGCAGTAAGCAAAGCCTAGAAAGTGCTCTGTCCTTCAGTGCTTCATTTACACTGAGTACACAATGAACATCAGTCATTAGATATTAGACGGAATTTTAAATATTTCTTACTTAGGTAGAGTTGAGGTACAATACCAAGAATTCCATCTCACTCTGCCATCTAGTTGGTTTTGACTCATAACAACCCCGTGAGTCTTTAAAGCAGAAAGCTTCATCTTCCTCCCTCGGGGCAGCTGGTGGCTTGTAACTTTTCCTTGTTCTTCCCAGCTGACCTTGTGGCTAGCTGTCCAGTGCGTATCCTCTGGTGCCACCAGAAAAAAAAAAAAGTAACTTTACAGCAGTGTTAACAGATGAATCCTGGATGACATGGAGATGGCTCCTTCCAAGGTCTCCTGGGCTTTGCACACTGCTCTCTAATAGGAAAAAGTCACAGGGAAAAAAATCTCCAAGACTATAAAGCTATTTTTAGGCTAAAAAGTTTTTCAGTGATTTAAATACGTAAATTCATACATTTAGTATAAAGCTATTCTTAAAAGTACTTCTCTCCAAGGCTATCCATTAAATAACTTTCAAGAGATATTGATGATGATGTTGATGAATCATCATAGGATCTCTGATTGGCTTCAAGTGATTCCTCTTCCAGTACTGTAATGGGTACATTGTTTTCAAGTTGGGGTATAAATTAACTGATTCTTTGTTCAAAAAGAATCTGGATGATCTTGTAATCACAGGAAGAATGAGCGGTATGGATTCTGTGTGTATACTGTGGGGAGGGTTTCTGAGTGAGGCCACAAACACATCTTTGTCTATTTCCTTCCTCTTCCTTTTAATTTGTTTAGGTAACTTAAGAAGGTGAAAACAGCAGATCTCGAATTATATTTTATGTTACATATCAGAGGTCATATGCTATAGACAAATCAGCAGCTCTTGGCAGGGAGGGTATGCGCACATGTGCACTGAAGGGGTCCTTTTAAATCTCATGTGGGTTTTTCCGCACACGGTTTTGGCATCAAGCTCTAGTCTGTAGGATGCCAGGCGCCTTGCTGACACTAAGGTATTGTGTTTTTCTACCCATTAGCCAAGGAGAAATGACCTAGATATTGTGCCTTAATAAAGCTTCATATTTCTCTTGCCCCTTGGTTCCTGAGTATACCATAGTCTCATATGCTATAAACATTTGTAGTATTCTCAGTCTCAGATGTCCTTTTGAAGGGGTAAGGGGAATTTTTTGTGTATTTATCAGTTGAGATATCTGGAGTGAAATTCTGTGAAGGTAATTCAAAGTTTTTCTTCCTGTGTAGTTTTGAGGACAGTTTACAGTATTACTAACAGCTAATCTAGTATAAGAGGATGCATCAAGAAACTGTACAAAAGCCAGAATACTATATTTGCATCTATTATGAATACAAAAAATAGAGTTAACACCAGTTCCCCTACATACTACATTCTATAATTACATCTCTGCATATCATGGGTCACTTTTATTAAAAGCATCATTACTACAGTTGGCAGCAATTTACATTTTATCTTACATGATAGCAGTTTTCAGAGAAAAAAATAAAAGGACTTCACAACAAAGAAAAAAACAATACATTTACAAAGTCATGTCTGTAAACTTCAAGGCTAGTTTAGAGCTGAGGTAATGCTGTTTAGCTTTGTGGCTAAAGTAACAAAGTCCTTTAAATTTTTTAAAAAAGGTACCTGATTCTTTCTTCTCTCACTCTTTATTTAGTTATCTATTTGTTTATACCAGTGCATTACAACATCACGAGACAATGGAACTGTAGTTCTATCTGGCAAGAACCCTCCCAGTAGGTTGATTTCCAAAGGGACCCTTCACATTCAACAGCTGCCTTATTATTGCTGTGTCTCGAGACAGAGACATTCACACCTAAGGTGGAGATTGTCAGAGTGTATGTTTGTGTGTGTATGAGCCAAGTGTGGGAACCCCCATACAGTCAAATAGGAAAATCATGAGCAAGTATGATATGTATGATAAATTTCATCTTGACCTTCACAGCAAAAAAGTTCAAATTAAAAAAATTAAATATATAACTTCATACTTCCTTTAAACAGCACCACTTCCTTCTATTGATGCTGCTCAGTTACAAATTGCTCTTTTATTATAATACCAACGGTACCAAAAGGAAAAAAAAAAAAGAAAGAAAGCAGAGCATTATGTAAGTTTCCTTAAAAAGACATGATCACCTCTCAAATTTCATCTCTCCTAGGGATAATAAATAATGCACTGCACAATACTTAATGACCAAGATACCTTTTGACACACCTGTATAACATGACTTGGATTTTTTTTTTTTTTTTTTGCTACACTATGTTACAGAACAGCTTATAAAACTAGGTATGAACATTAACTGTGAGTGTAAACAGTAGGACTACCACTTGTCAAAAGTTTTAAACACTTTAACTGGAACTGGTACTGGTTATTCATCATTTTCATTGTTTTCTATTTCATCTCCCCCGTCAAGTGAGTCTAGCTCTTCGCCCTGTGCTATTTCATCTTCTAAGAGGGAGGACTCAGCGGTTTTATCCAGGCTCTCCTCAGCATCACTGCCTTCCAAGGTCTCCTCATCTTTGAAGGGTGTCCCCTCAGCCTTGTCAGTAGGCTTGTCGTCGCCAGGGCCCACAGCATTCTGCAGTCCTGCCAGCGTGGGAAACCCAGGCAGTGTTAACCCTCCCAGGCCTGGAGGTAGAAACATGGATGGGTAAAATAGGCCAGGGGCCATGGTGGACAGGAGGAAAGGGTTGAAGGCCAGTGGGTTGGAGGGCAACCCAGCCGTGGCAGTAGCAGCACCAACAGATCCATTTGCAGAGTCAGTAGCCAAAACAGCATCTGTGCTTTTCTCAGAGTCTTTGTTCTCATCTTCATTCTCATTGCCTTTCTCTTCTGCTTTTGCAGTGCTGTCCTCTGGGTCTCCCAGCCCAGGGCCAGGTGTGGTGTTTCCTGCAGCAGGCAGTGGGGCGTTGAGCAACCCGCTGAGCCCGAACACACCAGGCAGGCCCGCCATCCCCGGCAGCATAAGCGGCAGCACAGCTGCTGAGTTCTTGGAGTCACCTCCAGCCGAGGCAGCTGTTGCCAGTCCTGGAGGGAAGCCCATGAGCCCTGCCAGCTGGAGAGACTGTAGACTTTGGAGGTTCTGGAGACTGGTGAGGTCCATTCCAGCGAACAGGTTGTTAACCAAGAGAGGGTTGATTCCGGATGTGGAGGCCACAGCAGCAGCGGCTGCAGCTGCTCTGGCGATCTCACTTTTTGGCCGCCTTCCTCTTCGGCTTACTCCCTCTCCCCGTACCACTGGGCCAGTGAGAAGACGATCAAACATGGACTCCGGAACAAAGCCCTGAGGGAAAGAGGAACCAACAATAGTATTAAAGTTGTTGTCAAAAATATAAGTTTTTACCTATAATTTATGCATACCACCACTTAATACCCAAACTCTTGCTATTAGTTGCCTTTGGATTCTAATTCATGGCCATCCCATTTGTGCAGAGAATAACTACATGGGATTGTGGCAATAGCAGCATGGAGCATACTGCTAGGCCTGCTTTCTAAGATGTCTCTGAGTGGGTCTGAACAGTCAAACTTTCAATCAGTAGTCCAACACTTAATCATTTGCATCACCTAGGGACTTGCAGACTCAAAAAAAGAACAACAACAAAAGGGTTCTGTCTAGCCAGTTCTGACTCTTAGCAATCCTACAGGCAGAGTAGAGCTGCCCCATCGGGTTTCAAAGGCTGAGAACCTTTACTAGTAAGCAGGGCTTTCTCCCCTGGCATAGTCCCAATGTCCTTTCAGTTAGCAGCCAAACGCTTAACCTCTCTACCCATGACACTCCTTTACAAAATCCAAACCAAATCCATTGCCATCAAGTCAATTATGACTCACAGTGACCCTCTAAGATAGAATCAAACTGCACCCAGGCTGTAAATTGTAACGGGAGTTGTGATGTCATGCATGACCAAGTTGGGCCACCAAGTTATATAATGTCTCTTCTAACCATAGTCTTTAACCCCGACCAAAACATTCCTGTCCTGCTGGGTCTGGGTAAGAGAAGGTAGGAGAAGATACTGATAGAATGACATGATTCAGCTGTGGATGTTAACAGAGTTCATCACAATTGTGAACACTTGAAATTCTAGCATGGGTTTAAACAAGCCATCTCACAAGCGGGGGGATGGGAGTAGATTTCACCACCATCAAAGAAACAGGAGTGGAGTGTGTCCTTTGAACACTGAGATCCCTCTGCACTGAACCTCTTAGATCCAGGGACACAGTGTTGTTGCAACAGAGGAGCAGTAGCAGAGGAGATGTGTGAGGCAGAGCAGTGGATTTCCCAGTACATGGAGCAAGCAAAGTGGAGTGACCTTGGGCAGGAAGCTTGCTTGTAGAGTGGGGTGTCTCCAGGAACTTAAGTGGGAAAGCTAGGTTTACTGATTCATGGAGCTAGAGCCAAGTGCCTTCAGGCAGAGGTTTATGGTGAAGTGGTGTGTGCTATGGGGTAACTGGAACAACTGTTCCTGAGCATTTATGACCCAGAATGTAACCTGTTAACATCCCTAATAAACCCCATAACTGTGAGCACAGTGTCTGAATTCTGCATTACCATTGTAACAGATTACTGAACCCAGTTGAATAGAGAAGGCTGAGGGGAGAACCGTTATTGCTACATATTTTTTGCAGGAGCAGATTGCTACATCTTTCTCCCATGGAGTAGTTAGTGGGTTTGAACTGCAAGTCTGTTAGTAGCTGACTACTAAACCACAGCATCACCAGGCCTCCTTACTCCTATACTTGTTAAATGCCATTGAGCTGGTTCTGCCTCATAGCAACCCTATACAGGATTTCCAAAGCTATAAATTTTTGAGGGAGCAGAAAGCCTCATTTTTCTCCCACAGAGCAGCTGGTGGGCTCAAACTGCCAACCTTGTGGCTTGCTTATCCTATAGAGCCACCACACTCCCTACTACCATACTGTTGCTGTCAAGTGCCATCAAGTCAGTTCCAATATATAGGGTTTCCAAGAAGTGGCTGGTGGGTTTGAAGCACTGACTTTGAGGTTAGTAGTCCAGTGTTTATCCTACAGAGCCACACCAGGACTCCACTATGATACTAAGAGAGTTTACAGACACCTAAAATTTCACATATCTTTTATTCCTTTGGGCAAATTCTTGCATCCATTTTCCCCAGTGGTTCTGAAAATAATATTCTGGCATGGGTCTTTATGGTGAACTAAACATTGGCATTCCAAACGGAAATGCATATCATCTCCAGACTAAAAGCACAATGATAAAACTCATGAAAACAAAAACTCTGATTGTCAGTATTATGTTTGCTCAACTGAACTATGCAGAATTTGTTAAAAACTAGCATATCAGAGAAGCAAATGTCAAGCTGGCTGCATTCATGATTAACTTAAGAAATAATACACCAGAAAGTAGCTGAACAATACAACAAATTTAATCAAGTTTAGCATTATCCAAAGAAATGAAAACTTGTGTTCACACAAAATTCGTGCATCAATGTTTATAGCAGCTCTAGTTTGTCCAAAATTTGAAAACAACCAAAATGTCTTCTGGTAGTAAACAAATAACAGTATATCTCTGCAACGGAATTCAGCAGTAAAAAGAACAAACATTTGATACACACAACTTAGATGAATCTCAAAGGCATTACAATGCATGAAAGAAGCTGTCTCAAAAGGCTAGATACTTTATGCTTCCATTTATATGACATTCTCCAAAAATGGAGGGAGAATAGACCAGTAGTTATAGGATTTTGGAGTAGGGGAGGGGATACAAGAGAAGTATTAGGGTGATGGAACTATTCTGTATTCTGATTATGGTAGCTGTTCATGAATCTGTACATGTGTTACCTTTATGATCTCCATTACAAATATCATCCCACAGATAGATGGTAAGCAGACTCACTGGGGGTATTCCTCCCTGTGATAATACTACCTTAATACTATGAATGAAGGAGCTCTGGTAGCATAATTGTTACGTACGAACTGGGCTGCTAACCTCAAGGTCAGCAGTTCGAAACTACCAGTGGTTCCATGGGAGAAAGATGAGGCGTTCTGCTCCCGTAAAGATTTACAGCCTTGGAAACCCTGTGCAGGGTCACTATGAGTCAGAACTGACTCCATGGTACTTAACAAAAATACTATGAATGTACATGTCTACAGAGTCCTAATCAATCTACTTTCAACAGTAGAAGAACAGGTATCTGAAATGACAATGTATTAGTGATGTATGAAGATGATGAAATTCTCTAAAGGTACTGTTAGACTTGAACAATTAATTGGGGTAATGGAAAGTAAGGAAAAATTCAGGAATGTGGAGTTGGTACTTACAGACTGCTTAACTATATCAGTCCAATCTGGGGCAACTGCAAATTCAGGATTTTCTTCCAGCCACCTAGGTAGATCCTTCATTGGAGGGGCCATTGCTCCACCCATCTAGGGAGAAACATTTATGGGGGGGTGGGAATAAAAAAACTTTAATTCTTCTCTAGATATATATAGATTCTGAAAGAAGATGATTCTTTTCCTTAAAAATTATTGTAGGTACAGACTTCCAGTAAGATGGCAGACTAAGCAGATGCACTACAGGGACCATCTATAACAGAGAAACAAGAGACACCCCCCCCACACACACACACACACAAAAAGACACAAATGAATATCCTGGGACCCTGAACTTCAGAAGAAAGGTTAGAGAAGTGCATTGAACGCTGCTGGAAGAAGAAGTGGATTAGGGACAGTGAGAGACAGAGGCTGACTGGTAAACGGTGACCACCTTGAACCTTTGAGAGCAACTCTAGCAACAGAAGAAAGTCACACAGTTGACTGGAAATGTATAGTTTCTTTTTTACCCCTATGTTCCCCTGGCGACCAGAGGGGTGGCCAGCTCCCATTCTCATCTATCCTTAGCACAGACCCTTGCTCTCCAGGATTCTGGAGCCAGTGTGAGGTGGGGCCTAGCTACGCTGTTTTGGTGCATCATTTTGGTGCTGGGATTCAAGTGGCTTAGGACCTACAGACCCCACAGAGCCACCAGACCAGCATTTAACCAGTCATTTTATGGTCCTAACAGACACTGAAACTAGCTCCATCAAGGGCTCCCATGAACTATGTCCAGATTGAGTGCCCTGAACACAGGTAACACCAAGTCCTATATGAACTCCTTCTAGGACCAGGAACTCTGTTGTCACATCCCTCCCACACCCACATCAAGAGCTCCTGGGCTTGCAGGAGCCCCGCAAGTTTTCTCTTCTACAGGTCCAACAGCCACACTGCTTTCCTGTTTGGGGGTTTGGTTTTTTCCTTTTTCTGTTTCATTGTTTTTATTTTTTTGCCTCCTTCTTCTCTGTTCATTCCCTTGAATTTTATCTTTTCTATCTCTGCTTTTAGTTTTCCTTTTCTTCTGTCTCTCATTTCTCATTTAAATTTTTCTTTTGATCTTTCTTTACTGCTATCTACTCTCTTTCTCTTTTCATCTACATTTTCCCTGATTTTTCTAAGGGTTATTTTTATTTCTTCCTTTTATTTTCTCTCCTGTCTGTTTTCATGTCCCTCTTTTCTCTTTTTATCCTTTTAAATTCTTTTTTATGCTTTACTATTTTTTCATTGTTGGTTGGTTGCTTGTTTATTTTGTTTTGTTTCCTCAAGTGTGTGTTGGAGGTGGGGGTAGGGGTGGTGCTCTCTTTTCTACTCAACAGCAGAACAGCAAATGTGTCAATAGAGTCCAGCCACACCATACCCTCTGCTGCTCCACTGGGCAGGGGCCAATACTTGCTCCTATACCAGCTGATTAGTGATAGATGCAAACCAGTCAAACCCACCCCAAACTGAATTGCATGAATGATGAATGGAGAAATATACTCATTCTTCCATTCTCTAACTAGACCCACAGAAGACAGGTGGTGAGAGGTGAAGAATGTATGAATAGATAATCATAAATTAAACACAAATATGAAAACATCACAATGTCCCAGAGACAACAGAAGATTTTTAACTCACACAAGAAAGGAGAGAATGGCACAAATGATCAAGATGCAGATCCAAAAATCAGATTTGAGGAAGAAAAGGTAATGGAACTAAAGGAAAAGGAATTAATCTTGGTGTGGTGCTATAGGATAAGCAATGGACTATTAACCGAAAAGTCGGAAGTTCAAACCCAACAGCTGCAAACTTGTAGACCATATGAGTCAGAATGGACTCAATGGCATTTGACAACAACAACAACAAAAGATTTACAGAAAAATGGAGGAAAGCAAGGAGAACACAGAATAAATGCAAATTTTGAAATAATATAAAACCTGTATTAAAAATCCAGAAGATTATAAAGATTTCTGAAATGAACAATACAGCCAGAGCAGGTGGAAAAGGGACACAGGGTGCCACCGATGGGGAAGCAATTCGGCCAAGGCAGAGTCACCCCCACCCTTGCTCCTCCCGTCCATGACCCAGGTTCCTGGCCCTGAGACCCCTTCTCCTCAGGGAGTCTAGCACATGATCAGATTTCCAGACTAGGAAGAGATAATTAAAAGCACAGAAGTGCTCGTTGATGACCACCTGGGTCTACTTGTGAGTGGAAGTGGAAGAAATGCAGCAATGGAGACACAGGCTGAGTTTGACCATGTTCCACTGACATCCACTGACCTTGAGATGAGAGAGAGGAGGAAGGGTTGGCTGGTCTGAAGTTTAGGAAGATGTGTGAACTCCTGAGCCCATGGGCACTGATCTAGCCCCTAGAAGCTGGGGCTGAGAGTGAAGTGGCTAGGTGATTTAAAGTGCAGGGAGGTGAGAGTGAACTCTCAAACTTGCAGCTAGTACCCATTTAACCTAGCTTGAATTGATCAGATGAAGAGAAAGATGTTTGACCAGATGAAGAGAAAGATGTTTGATACTGTGAGCAAGTATAAACTGCTATAATTTAATAAACTAGACTTTTGCAGTTGCTCAAAATTTCAACCAGAATGGAAGGATTCTTTAAATCAAGGAAAAACTTGGTTTCCTTATTGCACTGAATTGATAGGGATGTCTATTTAGATACTGGCTATCAAAAATGGGGAGGGCTCTATAGGCATGAAGTGGCTAGCTTAGAAGATTTCATAAATGTGCTTAGTTTCAGAACAAGGAGGGTATCTGGTGAAAGAGGATGGGGGTGTGATGGTGATAAGATTTTTTTATTCAATTGTGAGTAACTGTTAGCAGGATTAATTGTGATTGTCACAACTGTAAGTGTAGAAGATGTGTAACTAAAAGTGCAGAGTAGTTAACCTTTCATTTCAGGAACAGACAATCCCAGGATCATCAAGAAGTGTGAGATACCAACTTAAAAAAAATGGTGACAGCAGAGATGGTGGCATGGAAAGACAGTAGCTTCAGGCTTCAGGCCCTTGGACTGAATAATGCTGTGTGCCTGCTGGCAGGAGGCTGGCTGGCATAATGTGCCCTTTGAACATTTAAATGAATATTTATTTTTTGTTTGTGTGTATACAAATGTTTTTGCTCTGTTCACTTTTGAAATATGTCCATGAGGAGCCACAGGGAGGAAGCAGGATAACTGTTGTTGCAGTGAGGAGACTGTATTCACTAAGATGAAACAAAGTATTTAATTTGTTGAATGTAAAGCTGATAATTTTCTCTGCAAACCTTTACTCAGTTCACAACAAAAAGTGAAGACTTCCAAATAGGATAGATCCCAAAAGAAAACCATCATCACATATCATAATCAAACCAAAGACAGGGAAAGAATCCTGATAGCAGCTCAGGAAAACTGAAAAGTCACCTATAAAGGAGAACTAATAAGGCTAAGTTCTGATTTTTCAGCAGAAACCATGCAGGTGAGAAGACAATGGAATGGCATTTATGAAACTCTGAAAAGAACAAAATTGTCTGCCAAGAATCATATACCCAGGCAAGCTTCTCTTAAATATGATGGTGGAATGAGGATTTCCAAATAAACAGAAATTAAAGGAATTTGTAATAGCTAGACCAACTTTTAAAAAACTACTAAATGATGTTTTTTTGACTGAGAACCAACAACAGCAGACAGCAACCTAAAATTAACATACAAGATACCATCACCCAGAACTCAATCCATACGTAGACATATCCAAAGTAAAACAAACCTTCAAGACTGTAAATAGGGAGCCAGAGACATCAATTTATAATAAAGCCATCTACACAGCAAAAAAAAAAAGAGAACTGTGTAGAAGCAGAACTCTCAAATGGCGAGAAAGTCAAATAGATTTCAAGATAAAACAGACTGTTTTAAATGAAGAACAAAATAAATTATAGGGTAACCACAAAGAAAATGAATACATCTTCACATCAAAATAAGAGAAAAATCAGAAAGCTTTAGTAGACGGTAACACAATTAACAACCTACGATATGCAGATGATACAATATTACTTGCTGAAAGTGAAGAGGACTTAAAATATTTACTGATGAAGATCAAAGACCATAGCCTTCAGTATGGATTACATCTCAAGGTAAAGAAAACGAAAATCCTCATCAATGGATCAATAAACATTCTTATCAAGGGAGAAAAGATTGAAGTTGTCAAAGACTTCATTTTTCTTGGATCAACCATCAACACTCATGGAAGCAGCAGCCAAGAAATCAAATGAGATATTACATTAGGCAAATCTGCTGCATAATACTTTTTTTAAAGTGTTGAAGAGCAAAGATGTCAGCTTGAGGACTAAGGTATTCCTGACCCCAGCCATGGTATTTTCAATAACCTCATATGCACGCTAAAGTTGGACAGTGAATAAGGAAGATCGTAGAAGAATGATTCTTTTGAGTTATGGTGCTGGAGGAGAATATTGAAAGAACCATGGGCTGCCAAAAGAACAAATAGATCTGTGTTCGAAGAAGTACAGCCAGAGTGTTCCTTGGAAGCCAGGATGCCCAGACTTCATCTCTCATACTTTGGACATATTGACAGGAAGGACCAGTCACTAGATAGAGACATCATGTTTGGTAAGGTGGAGGGTCAGAGAAAAAGAGGAAGACCCCAGCAAGATGGATTGGCAAAGTGGCAGCATCAATGGGCTCAAGCATGGCAACAATTGTGAGGTTAGCCCAGAACCGGGAAGTGTTTTGTTCTAGTGTGTACAGGGTCACTATGAGTCAGTACTGACTCGATGGCACCAAACAACAACACCACAACAAAATGGAAGAAAATCCACACAAAAAATGAACTCTGCAGAAAATTATGTGGAAAAATTATGTGAAACAAAAAAACACACAGCAAAAGGTCAGCAATCAATTCATACACAATGCAGTTTTCAATAATAACTTAAGAATCTACAAAACACCTCACAACATGGATGAATCTGGAGGACATTGTAAGCTGGGTTAAATTAGTAAATCACAAAAGGACAAATACCACATGAGATCACTGTTATAAAAGTGAAGATAGTCTTGCTAAATGAAAACATTCTATGATGGTTACAGGGCAGGTGGGGGGCAGGGAAAAAATTAAGCGTCTAGAGGTAAATACTGTTAACTGACGGTACATAGAGTTGAATACCATCATTGTAATGATAAAACATGTACAATATATTGAATGTGGGACTGTTGATTTGTTCTGTAAAAATTCACCTGATTCACAATAAAAAGGTTAAAAAAATTATTGCAGGTAAAAACACTCTTTTTTGGGTTAAGAAATTTCATAAAAGTGAATTCTGTTTTCCAACACTTTACCTTCTTCCCATTTCGTTTATTAACAACAGGCACCCTTTCTTCTCCTGTCAAAGTGTTTATATCCAATTTATTAGGGTTTCGACATCTATGTCGTTTCTGTTTCGGTTTCTGAAATGAGGAAAACAGCACATCTGCATTCTTCTGCAAAAAAAAAGCCACAACAACAAATATATATATATTTAGTATGTACTTTTTTCTATAAAAAATGACAAAGAGAACAGTTAAGTAATTTTCAATTACCATAGAAGTTTCAAGTAGCTCTCAAATTATTAGAAATCTTACTTTTATTTGAAAAAACAAAACAAAAACTATTTTCCTCCAACTATTCATTAAGGAGGATTCCTGGTGTGGTGCTGCAGGATAACCACTGGACTGCAAGGTGGGTTTGAACTGCATGGTCAGTGGTTCAAATCCACCAGCCACTCCTCAGAAACCCTAAGTATCATTATGAGTCAAAACTGACTCAATGGCACACAACAAATACAATACTGCATTAAGGAATAAAATGAATACATATGCTGAGAGTCTGCTTTCCTTTTTGTCTGTCAATAACTATGCTTAAGGTTTTTTTCATCTAATGTTTACAGAAGGGCAACTTTTTGTAGCATATTTACTTCTAGTCAGTGACTTAAATGAACACAGAGGTGACATCATATCTGACAACAAAAGTCACAGAATACACACAAGGGATAAGAGCATCTTTGCAGGAGGAGGCATTTAGATAGGCAGAAAAAACAGGTAAAACTCAGGAAAATTAAATGTAAAATCCTACATTAAGTTTTTAAAAATCAATCACATAAGCATACAAAATAAAAGATTTGTTTTGCTAGCTAACTAAAAACAGTTTATGTGACAATATAAGAAAATAATAACTGTCAAAATTTTAACATAAGGCACATGTGTTCATTGCTTCAGAAGCAACTAATAAAACCTTGGACTGCATTAATTGGCCAAATCTCAAAAGGAAACAGCTTCATAGTACTTCGTGCTGGTCAGACCTTGCAGGTTGTTAATGAGGCTAATGAAAGTCAAGCCATATGAAGAGCTCCTGAAGAACCACATTTGTTTGGTGGAAGAAGAATAAATAGAATGCACCATCTTTGGATAACTACATGGCTGTCCCTCATGGGACAGTTCTGACCCTAGACTTTAATCTAGAAGATGACGCCCAAGTGGCACAATGGTTAATCACTCCGATACTAACCAAAAGGTTGGTGGTTGGAACCCATCCACGGCTCCGTGGGAAAAAAGACCTGGGGGCAATTCTACTCTGTCACATGAGTTGAAATCAACTCAGTGGTACACAATAACAATATAGAAGATACAATAATGAAAAAAAAAAAAAAGTGAAAGCTTTAAGATATTCAAGTAAAAGGCAGAGGAATGCTAATGGCATGTGGGAGAAGGAACTGAACTGCCCCTCAGGATTCCTTCCAACTTCAAACTCTGAAATACTTACTGGTACATAACTTGGCATATCAACTGTGTAAGTAGGATGCAGCTTAAGCCATTCAACTAAATCCTTATTTTTAGGTGCATCTTCCCCCACCAGCCTAGTCCCATCTTCTAGATTTATCACAGGGATACGTGTATCTGGGTCCAACTGTCCGGGAGAAGGAATGTTTCTTGTTGGTGGAGTTTCTATATCTTCTTCAAAGGCTTTGGTCACCTCAGCATCCTCCTGCAGAGAGGCGACAATGGTGTTAATTCTCACATTAGAACAGACATTCTAAAAATGTCCCACCTAAGAAAATGCTTCCCTAGTGTAATGGGAAGTTTATTAAAATAATGTCTGTTTTCGAATAAAGCAGCCTGGGTTGTGTAATGAGTAACATGTTGGGCTGCTAACCTCAAGATAAGCAGTTCGAAACCACCAGTTGCTACTCTGGAGAAAGATGAGACTTTCTGCTTCTGAAAAGATTTAGTCTCAGAGATCTTACATATGGTGTCTAGGAGATGGAATCAACTTAATGACAGTGGGTTTGTTTTTTGGCTTATTTTTGGAATAGTTATTAAATTACAAAGGAGAAACTTGTAATATTATTGTTCATAACTGCAGAATTCATAGTAACTTAGAAAGATCACAGTCCATTCTTCCTCTGTGCTTCGAAACCTAAAGCAAGCCATGGACATCATCTGTCTGAGCTTGATACACACAAAAGGCAGACTACTTAAACTTTCTTGGAGATCTGTGGATAACATCATTAAATATAATTTATAATTAAAAGGATTGTTCTAAAAGTTAGTTTATAAATAAACAATAAGCACTCTGTGCACAGTATTTCTACTTTCACACACTTCTTACCTCAATCCATTGCTCCATCCCTACTGCCCAAGCCTTCTTTAGTTCTTACTGTGTGTATTATTGCAATATTCCTGTGGCCGCCTAATTCTAGTTCCACCCTTTGTCAATACAACCTCCGGATTGCTATCCTAGTTAATTTTTTTTTAATGTAGCTTTGTGCAAAAATCTATTACATTCTCTATTCAAAGGATTTCAATGGTTTAGTCCCTATCTCCTTCAGGCTTGAGCATGCAGTCAAATCTCTGAGGTTTACTGTTCTGCTGAACCTCAGATTCATCCTTGCTCCTCCCATGCCACCTGTTTCAAATGGCCAAACCCTATTCAGTCATTAAAACTTAGCCTAAAGTATTAAAATCTCTAGGGAAAACGAAAACGATTTCTCTCCACATCCTTCTCCTCCATTCCTGGTTTTCCTGTGGGCTCACAAAGTCTCCTCAATATGCCTTAGTTACAGCACATGCATACAACAAAGATACATTATAATTTACTTAAAGGATTTATCCTGTTCCATACATATAATAATCCCGACTAGTAGCATGTCTTCCCACTTACTTTACTTAGAAACTAAATACTGTCCTTGAATTTTATGTGCATTGATATCACTCTCCACAACATCAATGGTGGGAACCCTTGAACTCCATCATTTGGTAAAAAATAAAACAAACAAAAAACCAATTTAAAGATATTCTCTAACATCTATCAGGAGTCCGCTGAGACGTGAGTGAGTTGCTAAATGTTACTTTGAAAAAATAAAATCAACAAATTCCTAACAATACTTAAAATATGTGAAATGGATAAAGTCAGCATTAAGTTCAGTGTAGGTTTTATGCTGGCAAAAGAAAACTACCACCTGGGTCTCACTGACTATTAATTCCTGGCACCTGTTCAAAAAGACAGGTATATGCTGGGATCCAAATACTCAACAGACTCATAGATGAAAAAAGGTGCCAGCTTTTTCCATAACAAATTCCCCAGTTTGTTCACATTAATGGAGAGAAGATTTTTAAGTCAACAGAATCTATCAGAATGTTAGGATGGGTTCAACCATGAATACTTGTCATCAGTGATACAACTTTGAGAGCCACACAACTAGAAGCAGGTTTTCACTTCTGGAACAGTAGCTTGCAGTTGATCTACCACCAGGTGTATTTTTATAAGATGCTAACAATAATCCGACAATAACAAAAATGACCTTCATTACAACTGATGCATTGGTAATCAGTTTTGAAATTTTACTTTTACCTATTAGGATGCTCCCAATTTTACTAGGCCCCACTAAATGAGCCCTGAGCCCTGTGAATTTGGGTGTGGCCTTATAGGATAACCACTGAACTGCTAACCATAAGGTCAGAAGTTCAAACCCACCAGCCACTCTTGGAAAACCTATTCAGGGTTACTATGAGTTGGAACATTTATATTAATCTAATAGATGCAGAGCACAGAACAAACAATTTTTAAGAACAGAAGCTTCTTTCTGCCTCACAAATTCAGAAACAACAACTTTGGGTGAAGAGAACTAGATTTTTGTTTTATACTACTCTTCCAAAATCAATTAATATTATTAGAACCATGGGAAGAATAAATCCTCAAGATACCCTAGGTTGAGACTGAGTGGTCTATATCAATTTTCCAGCTCAGTACCATGGCTCTGTTCACTGTAATTCTCTTTAAATAGTGGAAGAAGACAGCTTCGACACCACATCACTGCAGCAAGCTTGGCCCACTGTATGGGCAGGAGCCCCTGACTTACTGCACTCAGCGATGTCCGTTTGTGGCTCATGAAAAGCAGATCAAGGCCCTCCACATTTTTCCTCCTTCCCCGCCTTCTCTTCATGGGAGGCTCTCCATCTACCAGGGAGCCGTTGAGCAGATGCCTCGTGGGTGTGCGTGACAGACCTGCCTGGAGCAGTTCCATCTGAGTCTTAAAGGCATCAGAAACTGGTGTGGAGACATTAGGCAAGATAAACTTTGAATTAAGAGATGAGAAATTTGAGGTAGAACTTGTTGCCTCTCTTGAGGCCTTTGATAAATCTACAACTTTCTCTTGTCCATTTTCTGAGACCACCTGAGACTCCCGCAGTTGGGCAACCATCTCCATTAGATTCCGCCGCTTGGCAGCTCTTTCTGCCTCAATTTCAATTTTCCTCCTCCTCCTTCGTCGCTGGCGTGGGACTGGTAAGTTCAGTGTGTCTTCCTATTGAGAGATTCCAAAAGAGAGCTGCAATGAGCCAAAGTGGTATCTGGCTGGCTTTCAGACGTGAATTATAAACACTTGTGACTGAGGATAAACCAAAAAAATGGATAAAGCTGGAGAATCAGTAGTGGGATCAGTTAAATACAAGCTTCCAAACTGGGTTAATGTTTAGAGAGCTAGTCTTTATATCAGAAAGTTCACAGAAACTTACCTTTGATAACTGAGAAGTTATGATGTCTTCACTCCCACCAACGCTAGTATGACCAACCATTGAGAGCTCTGCGAAGCTCCTCTTCTGCAAGGGGCTGTCCATGGCAGTGGGTGTGCACCCAGGAAGGAGGCCCTGGAAATCAAACATCTGGCGCCGGTTGATTGGCCATTTGCCTTTCAACACTGCTTCACAGATGTTGTCTAATCGGTTTATCATGACTCGATCCTGGAGGGAGAAGATAGGTCACACAAAGTTGTCACAAAGACCTGGCGAAAGTTCCTTGATGAATATATCCAGCAGGATACTAAGTATCATGGAAGGCTTACAAATAAATTGATGGGCAAAAAGCAAAATAAAATATAACAAAGAAAAGAGCAAATAAATTCCATAAGAAAAACTGCTTTGCTCTGTGGTGGTGGTTATGTGCCATGGAGTTGGAACTGACTCATAGCAACCCTGTACATGGTTTCTGAGGGTGTAAATCTTTACAGGAGCAGAAAGCCTCATCTTTCTCCCACGGAACAGCTAGTAGTTTTGAACGGCTGACCTTAAGGTTCACAGCCCGATTCATAACCACTATGCTGCTCTGTAGAAAATCTTAAATGACCTCAATACAAAAAGCAACTATTTAATTATGAACATTTAACCATATAAAGAAGTCCTGGTGTGGGGTTGTGAATAGGTTTGAACTACAGGGTTGGTTGGCAGTTCAAGTTCACCAGGTGCTTCTTAGAAACCCTATACTGGGTCGCTGTTAGTTGGAACCAACTCGATGGCACTTAACAATAAAAACCACCATATAAAAAAGAAAACACTGAAGAAAGGCCAGCTCTCAATACCCCCAAATTTAAAAGGTAACTTGTATTTGCGTGTTAATATGTGCAATGGAAGCACTGTGTTTAATCCACAGGCTAGCCTAGGGTTTCTCTAAAATATGGGCCATTATTAACATCATTATTAGTAAACTCCAGCATTACATAGTGGGCACCACCTAGAAATACCTTCTGAATGCTATTTACATTCCCTATCTACTATCACTTCAGATTCCACCAAACCACATACATTAAAAGTTTTAATTATAGCTCTTAGACTGAGGCCTATAGATAGATACTTGCTACCATGAATCTCGTGATTGGTCTGCAAAATCCCCTTTCATACTCATGAGCATCATGGGAATATGGGGATCAAAAGGGTCTCTGAGGAAAAAGTATTCAAAGAGTTTCAGTCAACAGCCCCACACTGATTCTAAACAATTGACACTGGGGGAGACAGTTCTGGGAGAAGCTCCTGAAGTGGCTTTCTTGTGTTGTTGCTTTAAGCCCTGTTAGGGTGTTGAGGATAATTAGTTCCCATTCTGAAAACCAGACTTAAAATTACGTAGGGATTTGTTATAAAAGTAAATTCCACTTTGTTTTTGGTTATAGATGACCACATTTAGATTATCCCCAAAAGTACTAGAATACACGTTTCCAAAAACATGACACTATCTTAAATCTGAGTTCTGCTTCAGATTAAAAAAAAAAAAAGGAGCTTTAAATGTCCACACATTTTAGTTTGCTAAAGGGTGGTCCATTGAAGCAAAAATCTACACACTTGACAATGAGAAACAAAGCACCATAAAGACAGCTCTCTCTCTTGGAATTTTTCCTTCATGCTACCGTTCCTATGGAGTCCTGATGTGGCACTGTGGGGTAATGCGTCAGACTGCAGAGTCGTTTGAACTGCAAGGTCGGTGGTTCAAGCTCACCAGCGGCTCCTTGGAAATCCTATACAGGGTCGCTATGGGTCAGAATTGACTCGACAGCACTTAACAACAACAACAACTGTTCCTGTATTATTAGAAAAGTGTTCTACAGACTTTTTCTTCAAGCTTTCCTAGATCATTCTTTAAAAATAAGAAGAATCAACAGTTTTTATGGACTGTGTCAAAGTTTAAGATTAAAAAAAAAAAAAAAAATCAAGCTAGAAAGATTTCTTCACTTTTCTATTCTTTTTAGCCAACAACAACAGCAACAATATGCCAACCTTAGGCCAAAATGAGAAGGCAAAGGTTCGTTCATGAAGGAGATGAGCTATGGAAGGGTCTCCATCTTCCATATAGAATCCATCTCGAGTTTCATCCCTTGCAGTGCTCAGAGAAGCATTGCTTTCTTCATCAAAATTCTTCCCTCTAGACACAGCGCCTGCTGAGAGATGAGTTAATGTGTATTACTCACAGCCAGATTATCACAGAAACAGAAATTCAGGAAGGCAACGATTAAAAATGTAAACACTAGTCATCCTCATTTTAGGAGCTCTGGAAGTATAGTGGATTACACATAGGGCTGCTAACTGCAAGATCAGCAGTTTGAATTTACCAGCCACTTTGTGGGAGAAACGAAGCTTTCTGCTCCCATAAAGCTTGGGAAACCCTCTATGGATTGTTATGAGTTGGAACCAACTTGATGATACATAGGAGCATCCTCATTTTATTGAGACTCTACTATTTGCGTAAAGTGGTCTACTGGGTACTTTACAAACAGCTTTAAGTGCCATTGAAAGCTCATTAAAGTTCTTAAATATAGGTACAGGGACCCTGGTGGTCCAGTGAGTAAGCAGTAAGCTGCTAACCAAAATATCAACCATTTAACCCCAACAACCACTCTGGATAGAAAGATGTGCCAGTCTGCTTTGGTAAAGATTACAGGCTTGGAAACCCTATGGGGCAGTTCTACTCTGTCCTGTAGGGTCACTATGCGTCCAAGAATCAACATGAAAGTGGGTTTTTAAGTTAAGTGGTGTTGTTACCATTTTACAGATGAAGGGACAGAGGTTAAATGACTTGTCTGGGGCATTGTGCAAGTAAATCATGACAGAGGCTGAATGCCAATCAAGTCTGACCCCAAAGCCCATGATCTCCCATATTAAGAAAACATACTAACAATCTGTATAAAGTTCAACATTTCAGCTACAGCAGAAGAGCACAATGTACGATGTGATGAAGAGCACATTCTTACCTTGTGCTAATTACAGCAATCTAACTGTAATTTACAAAGAGAATTGGTTATTTTCAGATTCTACTCCTACCTTTTACTTCTGAAACAAAACTATCTGACATCCAGTTGCCAGGAGTCACAATCAACTTGGTAGTAATTGGGTTGGGAGGGTTTTTTTCCCTTTGTTTAAAAACAATTAACACTATTTACTCAGCGAATGACTTTTCTTTCTCACATTTAGTTATCTGAATTAAAATCACATGGAACTCTTAAAACATTAGTATTTTAAAGTTAACCTCTATCGTTCACCCAAAAGGTGCCCTGTGTGTGCAAAACTCTTCTGAGAGTTAGTTGTTCAAAATGTTGTCTTTCTACGCCGTAAGATACCAGAGCAAATCACACACCTAAGCACTTTGTGACTTAAACTTCTTATCCAGTCACAACTGAAAATGTGCATTGATCATCTTTAAAATTGCCATACTACACAAAAACAACACACCTCACAACAAGCTGCTGTGTGGTCAAGCTAAGACCCAAGTTGCCAGACATTACCTTCAGGTTGGGAAGATTCTTCTGACTTATCATCATCCTCTAGCTTTTCCTCGTCGTCCTCTTCAGAACCCTTTTCTGAAATAGACTTGGGCTCCATGTCCACACCACCCTCCATGCCCTTCAGGTCATTTTTCAGCGTGTTTGTCTCAGCCTCACATTCCTGCTTACTGTCCTTCTCACTATCCAATTCATCTTCCTCTTCTTTCACCTCAGTGGGATTTGCCTTGGCAGTTGGGTTTTCTGATTCCTCCACTTTACCATCAGGTTGCTCCAATACTTTTTCATCTTGAATGTGAGTGGGCAAGATGACTGGAGGGATGGGGCCAAGTCCCACTGCCAGTGGATTCAAGGAAGATATGTTACCCACCCCTCGGTTTTGAGCAAAGTTTTTATGTGCATCCAAGAAAGACAACTCAGGGTCATTGAGAATATGATAATCCGTCCTACTGACCCCATGTTTAGCAGCACCAACTAGTAAGTCTCGGTCATGTCTCCCGCACTCCCACCACTCTGGCAAATCCAAACTCGGCTGGCACAGTTTTAGCCTCTCTCCCAGGTGAGGGTGCTGGAGAACTTGCTCGCGTATTTTCCGCAGCAATTCTATGCGGTACAAAGTTCTAGAGGCACGCTCTTCTGTGATTGGCTCAATCATGGAAGAGAGGTCAGGTGGCTCTAGAACACAAAAGCAATCAGATTTGCTTTGGAAAACAGGTTATTTCTCATCAATATTTTTTTCCCTTTTGATACTCAATGTACCTACCATCATCTGGTTTAGAGGGCATCTGACACACTCTCCTACACATGGCCACAAAACAACTGAAGTATTTCTCCAAACTCTCATCAGATTTTTTGTCAAGTCTGGCAAAGGCTCGAAACTGGTTCCAGTCAAATTGCTGTTTTATGGGGTCAAAAATAACCCCAAAAGTAGACACCACACGGTAAAAATCAGCCTCTTCTCTTCTTGTCCATCTATTAGAAATAACATGTTAATTAGCTTGAAATAGACTTGAGCATAAAAGCTTAAGTCTTTCTTCTTCCTTCTGAACTTAATACACAGTACTTATTTTGGTGAAGGGAAGTGAAGCTTTCTTCGATGGATATGACCTGTGAGGAAATTCCTGTCTAGTGGGGGCCTACTATAAGAGTAGAATTGAAGGGACTGTTCCAAAAGTCAAATGAAACCCCAAACACACTCACTTTTGACGTTTTTCAGATATTATAGCTTCTCTTTCGGCTTCCAATGCTCGTACTTCTTCCCGTGGCCGGCGTCTCCGTCGGTCAGTCTTCATTAAGGCCTCTTGCCTCATTTGTTGCCTTTTATAGCTGCGCTGATAGGCAGTAATGAGGCGACGCAGACGTGTGGTCAGGGTTGAAGTGTTAGGCCAGTAAAGTTGGCCTAACTCAGCATTACTTGTACTGTGCTTGCCTGGGGAAGTGGAAAAGATATTTTTGAAATGTATAGCTGCAATCCTGCAATAGACAAGATTTTCTAACTAAACAGAATGACTCATTAACACTCAGATGACAGGGTGGGAAAGGGCGTCTTAGTGCCCTAATTTTCAAATATAAATGAGGGATAATGTTAGCACAAAACTGATAACCTATTTATTTTTTTCAATGCCATAAGGAGGGAAAAATAAGTTTACTTACCAATCTTACATTAAAAAATGCACTTTACAACATGAACTATATTATAAGATGCTCTCCAACAACAAAAATCCTAAACATAAATATTCATGTAATTGCTAGCTAATGATTTTACATCAGTTAAAAGGTCAGTAGTCTATATAAATTGGCAATGTTTCTGATAAATAATTAGTAAATGTCCTACTCTCAAGAGAAACAATGCCAAAGATGCTTAAAACGGTTTCACTAACTGGTGGTATAAAATACAAGTAGCTCAATTACCGTATTCTAAAAAATAGTTATTCTATCAATGAAATCTAGTGTAATAAGAAACAAAAAATAAACAAGAATTAAAATTATTTTTAAAAGATTAGTAAGTATGAAGAAAATACTACCACTATAAAGCAAAAGTTCCTAATATAGGAACAATTCTTGTGCAACCATTCCCTGGGTTTTTATGGAGCTTACCTGTAGAATGTACTTCCATGGATTCTTCCTTATCCTCTGGAGGAGAATTTGCAAATTCCTTGAAAGCAAAGCAAGAAATAAAAATTATTTTAACTTGTGCTTTAAAAGTTTTAAGGATACGGTCATGATCCATAAAGTATTAAAGTCTTATATGGACATCTAGTATTTTAAGAGAGTCATAAAAGTCAGTAAATTCAAGTTCTTACATCTATTTCATCCTTGAATGGCGTTCTGGTAGGTTTATATTCTGGGTCTTCATCTTCTCTGTCAAATTCTCCCCTATATAAAATTTAAAATAAAAGTTTTAAAAATCATATGGATGAGCAAGAGAACAAAGGGAAGAGTGTGGAAAAGAGTAACAATCTGCTTAATTCTGCTTTAAATTCTGGCTTTGACTGCAAGTGATCTATCAATATTTAAAACATGTAGTCTTGAAGAGGGGTGGGTGAGGGCAGAGACTGTCATTTGGAGAAAATAAACAAGTAGCAGATTATCAAGAATACATTTTGCTTAAATAGCCATTATGGCATGCAAATAAAATATACTGGTAAAGTTCAAGTCAGCAGCAATATAACGCATTGTGCAGTGTAAAAATTAAACCCTGCCAATATATCTGACACTGACATAAAGTTTATTAAAAATTTTAAATGTCCTTCTTACCCGTCACCACCATCTGCTAGCATGTCTGTTCCTCTTTGCTCGGCAGCGATGGCCTTGGCATCAGGCATACCGACTCGTTCCAGAAAACACAGTGCGGGGTCAGCTCGCATAGAATTGTATTTTTCATAGCCTTGGTCATCCCCACCAGGCCAGAGGAAGCACACAGAAACAAAGAAAGGCCTCGTCACTGACAAAATCATGGCACCACTATAGCATATGCATTTTGTTTCTGTGCTGAATCAAAATTGGGTTTTAGCAAAACATTTTAGGGTATGATCATTTCAAATATGAAGCTTTGGGGACCAAGTTATACCTCAAGGACATTATCAGAATTATAACAAATACAAAAAGAAAAATATGTCCAGATGCCTGGGAAGATTTCTGGCCCTATTTCCTCAAAGGTCTAATTTTGCATGACATTTGAAAGGCTTTGGCAGGTTCCTTTAGAACCTCTGCAATGGTAGTCCCAGGACATCTCCGCCCACCAGCCTTTGAATTGCTTCAGCCCTGCTGAACCTCGTATTGCTAGTTGAATATCCATGTGTACATCAGGCCAGCGAACCTGACTTATTAGGTTTAGGAAGATATATGTTAGTAAGATGACACTGTTCCCTCTATGGTTTTCAAACTGCAATGTGCTTTTTGACTGCCCAAGAAGACTAGAAGGGAAATGGCAGATCCCAACAGTGCACTGCGGGAAAATGATTTTAAGGCTGAGTCACAAAATGTGGCTGCTGTACACAAGCAGAATAGCACAATTCAATTAGGATGTGTACTACAACACACTGCTCCTAACTGCTGTAGAGCCTCCAGCCAAACTGTCATCATGAAAGGTTTTATAAGCCATCATTCTCCCCTTTAGTCAGCCTGGGCTGCTGAGAATACCTCTGCGACCTCCAGAGAATTGGGATTATAATCAGGAATCGCTCACTGTATATATCATGCCAGTTCTGCATCCCCAGCCTTTCAAAGTTAACAAGGCTGCATCCCACTCGAGGGAGCCGCAAGTTCTCAGCACTGACATTTGTGAAATATTGCTTGGAACAAAGCCCAGGAGGCACTTGTACAGATTAATAGCAGAGGTTAAGCCCACTGTCCACTTTGACACTGGTTGGCAGAGCTAGCAAGTGAAGCAGCGCTAGAAGCAAAGTTTCAGGAGATCCATAGTAAAACTTGGCTATTATTAAAACAAATATGGTTTTGGTTTTATTTAGAGCCAAGAAAGAAATGTTTTCTTCTCAAATACTCAACAAACATTCAAAAACAGCATCTGATATTTACAGTTCATATTAGATTTTTTAGTACAGAAAAATGGTTGACGCCAAGAGTCCTTTGGAACTAGCCTTGTTAATATTATGACTTTGGGAAACAGTATGTAAAGAGTTCTAAATAAAGACAACACCATACAGTCAAGATGGATTCAAATAGAAAAATCACTTACCATGTTTGAAAACTCCAATTAAGAGGGATTTGTCTGCTTCCTTGTCCCACCAATCGGTAGGAACTTCAGCATGGAAAGGCTCAGGTATCCACACATCTGCTTCACTACAAAGACAATTGTTCAGGTAATATTTAAAATACATGTTAGCATTACAGAAAGACTTTCAAGTATTGAATACGATGCACACTCCTATACCCTCTTGCTGTCAATTAAGATCTGTGTGAGGAGGGATGAGAAGAAAGAAAGGGCAGAACTCATTAACTCTCTGCCACCATCACTAGGAGTGAACTTCCACACAGGACCACACCTGAAAGGTCACCTTAAAGCACCAGTGATTCACGTCACAGGTTTTTATACGTACAAACAGTCTTCTCCAGATTTTCATTACATCCCTGAACTCACATTGCACTAAAGATGTAAAAAGCAGAAGAGCTCCTCATGGCCTGGGAAGGTTCACAATCCATGATCATCACATGAACTTGAGAGCAAGTGTGCACTGGCACTAACCTGGAGTCAGCACCCTCTAAGATCTTATCTGCTTGGTCTCCTATAACTTCTTGTCTTAGGTAGTACAGCATGCGGACACGCAGCAGGACCCTGGAGAGGAAAGAGCGGGGGAAAAAGTTCTTAACTTCAGGACTATTTGCCAACAGTGGCTTTTGGCAGCTGCTGCTGTTCATCCATCATCCTGCCAAGGCTGATTAGCCATGCTGTATGGTAGGCTTGAAGCGTGACAGATGGTGGCACATAATCACCTCTGTGTGGTGCTTTCTGCTGGCTTCCAACAGGCCTGCCTGGCAACGGCTCACACTGCACAGAGAGGGACCAGGCTCAGCCCAGCCTGGGTGCACTTCATTTCATTCTACCTAGTGCAGCTTGTGAAGTTTAGACACGTACCCTACCACTGCCTCTGAAGTATTGAAGCAAGTTTGTAAACAACTGAGCAGATGGCTTTCAGTAACTGTTCTGCTTCATTATCTCATAAAATTTCCTCAGCTGCTGCCTTAATACCATTTTTGGAAGCACATCAGAAGTTGTAGGAATAAACGAGATATAAAATCTGGTTTTACTACCTTACAGTAAACCCTCAATATGGAATGTCAGGTTTTCCAGATTATACAACTTTGCTTCTGAGAAAGGGTTCTCACTCTTCCCACTTAAGAAATAAATAGTAAGCATTTTGTATTGTTTGTATTATCTGTGAACCTACGTTATTGTTTTAAAAAACATAACAACAGAACATTATATAGGAGATTAGAATGTGCCCAATTTATTAAAGTTCATAATCATTTTTCAAGGAATCATCTTTTAAAAAATACTTGTAACTCTGGGAACCAGATTTTCAATCTCATTTGGATTTTCTCAATGGTTCAAATGTAATTCTTTCAGTAAAACCCACCTGGTAACTCACAAAGGCCTATGTCTACTCCAAGTCAAGTGTCCCTTGCAGCACAGACTTAGTGCACAGACAATTCAGAGCTGAAGATGACCTTCAAGGTCATGAGTGAATTACAGTATCAACTGCTATTTTCCAAGCTACATAATTCCATTTTTCACTAACACAACACTTTACATCCAATACCTCACTTTTATATATAAAAGTTTATCTGGTCTTCATAAAAATCCTCTGAGAAACTGGGGTAAGCTATGATTTCCATTTTATATACATGAAAACTGAGACAAACAGAAAAGAAGTTGCCTACCCAAGACCAGAGTCATTTTGAACATGGAACACTCAGATCCAGATTTCCTGACCTTTCCACATCTCATGTCTCTCAATGACATGACAAATGTCCTTTAAGATGTTAAATGACAACTTCACTAAAAAGACTACTCCTGATTATGCATAAATAAGTCCTTGCAACACACCTTCTTCCCACAGCAAGAGTTTACTGTTGCCAACATGGATTCAAAATGGGTCATGTGGGAGGATGAAATCAGTTTTTTTAAGTATATGAATACAAGTAATCACTTTGAATAACTCACATTTTTCTAAATTTTAGAAACCTTTTTTTGTTAACAAGGTAAAACTGACTGTGCCTCACTTGACCAACATGCGTTTCTTCTCTGGTTACAGAATTTGAAGCCAGGTCTACTTGTAGAGGCTGCTGAAAAAGGGAAATTCCAAAGGAAATCAACCTTGGTCTGGGCTCCTTTTCATTCACAGCAAAACTCAATGCAATTGCATTGATCCTAGTAGTTTCTCTCCCTTTCAGTTGAACACAAAGTTCTTTGGGTAGAATTTTAGTCATGTGGAAACTTTTATGGACTGTGAACTTCACCTTTTTTAGAAGAAAAAAATAAAACCAATGCAACTAAGAAACTCAGAACCTGCTGTGTGCAAAGGTGAGTGGGCAGAGCCACAAGCGTGAAAGAGTTCACATCCTACATGCTAGACAGAAACGAACCCTCGGTCTTTATACATTTTTACCATTTATCCTATTAGTGACCATTTTCTGTCCAGGACTCAGCCCACCATTGTGCACGACCATGCATGCCTGAATCGTTCTGTATCCTTGAACCTGAGGGAGCTCCTCATCTCTGTCTATCACAATCTAACACTTGTGAGGACACTGGCCAGCTACCTACTCAGATATCCCTCAACTTGGGTTTCACTGTCTAACAGTCACAAACATTTCCATGTTAGTTCCTGATAAATGAGGGCAGGATCAGTTAAGAAAGAAGAATGGGAACACTTTCTTCCACACAAAGGTAAGATGGAATGCATTAACAGGCTTTTAATGAGATGGAGTGGGGAAATGTGAACAACTCTAGTGGTTGCTCACAAACTAGTTCGGGTGGTACCTCAATGGAATAGTCATTAGAATGGGAAATCTGAGTCAACACTGTCACACTGAGGCCCTATTCCACACTGAAACAAGAAAACATGGCTGAACCAGATAAACCTCATCTCCAGCCTGTACAAATCCAGACCTCAAAAGACTATTGAGTCAAATTTTACATAACAAGAAAGTAGACATTTTGAATAACTGTAAGTGGGATAATATTTTAGTCAGAACTATGATGCTACACAACAACAACAACAACATGATGCTACACTGGTGTGGTAGGATAAGCACTGAACTGCTAAATGCAAGGTTGGTAGTTCAAAATCATCAGTCACTCCTTAGAAACTCTATACAGGATTGCTATGAGTCAGAATCAACTCAACGGCATCTAACAACAACAAATGATTCCACAGCAGTAATAATAACAAGTTCTGAGATGCAAAAATAGATGTAAAAAGAAAAACATGGGCAGTAAAAATATAAGTACTGCAATCAAAGTTTGGCCCTCAAAGCACTGTTGTCACTCTAAAGCTGATGAGAACTAATAGTATGTACAACCCAGGAAGTGCCCAGTGTTGCCCCCATGCCTCCTCATATCCACCTCACAGAAGCACTGAGACATAAGGAGGCCAGTGTTGAAGAGCTAGGGCATTATCCTGGTCAGCTCTGGGGTTCAGATCCAGCTCAGAGTTTGAACTGGTTGAAAGAAAAGTTAGTTACTCAACCTGAGCCTGTTTCCTTATCAGTTAACTGGTAACAAGATAGTACAACTTTCCTGATGACTCTGACAGATGATCCACATAAGTGCTTAGTATGCTGCCAATGTGTGTACTCAGGCTTCCATGGCTGTTACTTTTAAATGTGTTAATACACATTTATTTATATCCTGCCTTGTCCAATCAAGACCTTGTTGCACAGTTCTGTTTGACTGACAAGGACATTGAGTCTCACAGTAGTTGAGTACTTTGCTCAAGATCACATTGAGTGAGAAAGCTGAGGGGCTGGCCACACTGTTCCTATGCACTGACCACATACACTCCAAGTAAAGGAGGCCGGAGCATGTGCCGACACCAGTGCAACACAAACCTCTGTTCCAAGCAAAGAAACCCATTCAGATTCAATGTTATTCAAATACACATGATCACTTTCTGGAAACAGAGACAAGGGATATGATTCTAGGCTCACAGAAAGTGTAGGTATTGATTATGTGCTGTGGAGTCGGTTCTGACTCATAGCGACCCTATACAGGGTTTCCAAGGCTATAAATCTTTACAGGAGCAGAAAGCCTCATCTTTCTTCCGTGGAACACCAAGTAGTTTCAAACTGCTGACCTTGTGGTTTGCAGACCGATTTGTAACCACTATGCTACCAGAGCTCCATTCACAGAAAGAGAACAAACAAATACTGCTAGAAGTCTACCCTCTAAAGGCGCCCGCCTGACTGGGCAGCATGCTTCAAGACAAAGACAGCCGCTCTAGATTTTACTAGGCTAATCACTTAAGTTTTAAAGAGCAAGAAAGGAATCAGATTCTGGTGGAGAGCTGCCCCACACACTTGTTACAGTGGTGCTTCAGGTGCTTCCTGTAGCTGTCCTCCTGGAAGAGCGCATCTGGGTTGCAGCCGGCCAGCCAGTCCGCGTGCTGCAACACTGGCTGCGTGCTCTGTGCTTTCACCTTCTTGCCCTTCCTTCCCCGTGGCACCGGTGCGGATAAACCTGCAATAATAACAGTAGTAAAACCTTCTTGCAATCCAAACCACAGTGCCAGAGTCAGATAGTTTAATGTAAGAGGAAGTATGGGCTATACAAAAGAAGAAGCCCAAACCAGCTGCTGTCAAGTTGGTTCTGACTCATGGTTACCCCAGGGGGCCAGAGTAGAACTGCTCCATAGGTTTTCAATGGCTGGTTTTTCTCAAGTAGACAGCCATGCTTTCTTCTGAGGCAGTTGAGCAGACATGCATCTCCAACTGTTCAGCTAGCAGCTTAGCATGAACTGTTTGCAGCCCCCAGGGACTTATCTTTTCACCAGCAACATGTTACCAAAGTATCAGGTGATGCTGGTGAGCCTATAACTCAGAGGACAAAGCTCTTACCAGAATGGTTGACCAAGGCCCGTGTCTGGCCATCAGCCGTTGGTGTGATCAGATCCCAGATGAAGCTTTTGATGTTCTCATCCCCTCGATAGTGATTGAGGCAGTATACAAGGATGGTTCTGCATATGGTTTCCACATCTTGCTCAGTGAGTGGGCGTTTATAGCGCCCATGTGAAAGGATGTCTGTCCACCGTCCCCACCTGGAATGCCAACATTAAGCAGGTAGACAGTGCTTTTGTGTTTAAACCTGGGGCTTTTCTTTAATAGCCAGATGCTGTTTCTGGGAAATCCTGGGTCAAAACTTGCAATATTTTATTCCAGGTGATAGGAACACAATCTAGGGTATAATTTTAGGTGCAAATATCTTATAGAGTGGGCTGTAAAGTCACTGCTCATAACTAAAGTTTCTAACATACCACAGAAATAATCAAGCACACGTGTTTAACATATGCTTTATAATTATGATGTAGGCAGTGGCAGCGACTTTCAGGACAGGAAAGTAATTCACGGCCCTGGGGATTTAGTACTTGGCTCCACCCAACATGGCTTATATGTTCCAATGCTGATTGGCCATCAGGATGAAAGGTGACTCAAGGAAGCTGTGACTACTCCAGAATCAATGGTGCAATGGTGGGGTGAGGGGCACTGATGTGCCCCTCAGAGGGTTGCCAGGACAATTAGTGAATGACAATGAGAAGCTGTGGGCTTCCTTTTGAAATCAGGAGTGATAACTTGCACACTGGCACTCACAGGAACATTTGTTCAGCTGGTTCTGGGTTCCTTTGTGAAATGGGTGGGGAGAACACACTGCTGAATCTGAACAGTCTGGCTAGTGTTATCCTTACAAGTTTAAACACACCATGATGTGATTTCCTCTTGGTGATGAGAAAAGAGACTTGGATTGGGTTTGGGTAAAGCACAAACACCTGACTTTGCTGAGCCCAACACAGAGCCCTCAGCCTGTTGGGGAGAAGCCCAGTGTACTCATGCACAGCTCCTGTCTTTTGCCCTGGCTGGCTTCAGTGAGCTCCTTTCAGTTCCTGAAATCATAAAGCTTGCCCTTACTTTGCACTTACTGCTTTCTCAGCCAGGAACTCTCTTCTCCTGTCTGACTAACTTATGATACCCAACACAGAACATCCTTCACACTCATCTCTTATGGAATATCCTTTCTTTCACCTCCTAGTTGCAGAGTGAGGTAAGCATACTTCTAGGCTCCATGCCCTGTCACAATATCTGTCACATTTTACTGCTGTTTCTACTGGTTCACTTGCCTACCTGAGGCCAGGTCTGTATCTGACTAGATCACAATGGGATCTCCAGTGTCTGAGAATATCCTAGCACAGTGCCCACTACATGGTGGGTGTGCAATGAATAGAGACAACTATTACAGAGGGTTGGGGGGTGGGGAGTGATTTTACTGAAAGGAAAGAGAAGATGCTTCCAGAAGTCATTGATATGTTCCATCTCTAAACTTAACAGTACAATTCTCATCTGTTAACATTAGGTTGAAAACTGGAAGTGCATGCAAATAGCAAAGGATTCAGATGGGGAGAGCCCTGCCTCCAGAAGAGAATACACATGACAGGAGGAGAGTCCACCGAACTTGCACAGATATTTGTTAGAGCTCCCCTGGTCACTGAGATACATGAGGGGCTTTGGCTAAGCATCATTTGTCACATAAATGGTCATTTGAAAAACACTTACCATGTGACACTGTAGTTTGCACTGAGGGCACTAAATAAGCAGGGGCTCATCTATCCTCAAAAACCTTCAAACTGACCATTTACAAGAGAAGCCCAAGAAGCAGAAATCACAAAATAGCATAGTGAGCTCAGTAAACTTGGGTGCATGGGGAAGCCTGAGTTTGATCTTAAGGATGCTGAACACCAGGCCAAGGAAGTTGTGTGTGTGGGTATGTGTGTCACAGGGACAAGCCAGGGATGACACAACCTGGCACATTGAAAGTGATGCAGGCATCTGTCCCAATAGAAGCTTGGCTGCCCATGGGGAACTCCAACAAGGCAAACAAGAGCCATATAAGGGAGCCCTGATTACCACATTAACAGAAAGTTAGTATTTATTCTGAAACTAGTAGTAAGAGACTGGAAGAAATTATCAAAGACATAGCATAACCAAATTTGCAGAGACTGCTTGGGTGACCTTCTTCATTTTTGCCTCATTAAAATGGCATTTGCCTCAACTTCCACAATCTACTGTATAGCTCTCAGTCACTGACTCAGTTTTTATTGAGCACTTCACCATTCAAAGTGATGTGTGGGATGCTGTTCTTCTAATTCTGAAAAATTAGGATGTCTTCTGCCCTTCAGGAGCAAGCAGGCCAGCAGGACAAACAAGCCACACTCACAAAGTAGAAGGGACTTGTCCAAATGAGTAGAAGGAAGAACTTTATAAGCAAGGTTATTGCCTTTAACAAACTTTTATAACAGAAAAATATTGAAAGATCACTATAGTCTGAGGCTGTTAGATTCAGAATGTCCAATACCAGCCCATTTCAGCTCTCTAATGCCAGGATATCGATTTTTATGTGTTCCCAACTCATTCTGACAACTTCCTATTTTCTTAGAGCCATACTTCGTACATTCCATGTTCTGATTATTAATGGATGTTTATAGCTGTTTCTCCTCATTTTGATTTGTACCCCATCAGCAAATGAAGGTCCTGAAGGCTTTACTCCATTCACATCCAGGTGAACCTCTACTTTGCGGAGGCAGCTCTTCCCCAGTTGTATTTTGAGTGCCTTCCAACCTGAGGGGCTCATCTTCAGCACTATATCTAACTATATTCTGGTGCTCTTCATCATGTTTCAATATTCAATATTCTAGTGCTAACAGTGTTCCACTGCTATTCATAACATTTTCAGTGACTAAACATTCAGAAGCAGTTGGTCTTTCCTTCTTTGTAGTCTTAATCTGGAAGTTGAGCTGAAACCAATCCACCATGGGCGTACCCGGCTAGTATTTTAAATACTGGTAACATATCTTCTAGTATCACAGCAAATTATAAGCCACCAAGTACGATAAACTGAAAGATGAATGGTGGTTTACTGTGTTGGAAGTGACAAACTGAAGAGGAATGGTGTCGCACGCAACATTAAAATAAAACATTTCAAGATCTATCTTGATGTAAAATGCCATCAGTCAAAAAATAATATCCATATATGCCTACAAGGAAGACCTGTTAATGCACTCACTCAAATTTATGCAAAAAATCACTAAAGCCAGTGATGATGAAATTGATGAATTCTACCAATTTCTGGTGTGGCACTGTAGGATCAGCATTGTACTACAAACCATAAGGTTAGCAGTTCAAACTCACTAGCTGTTAATTGGAAACCTTGAATAGGGGCATTAAGAATCAGAAGCAACTCAACAGCACTTAACAACAACAACTTCTTCAGTGTGAAATTGATCAGACATGGAATCATGATATAGTCATAATTACTGGAGATTAGAATGCAAATGTTGGAAACAAAGAGGATCAGAAATTAGAAATTATGGCCTTAGTGATAGAAATGCTGCTGGAGATCACATGAAAGAACTTTGCAAGATCAATGACTTATTATGTTGTTTAAAAAAGTATTTGCAATGAAGTTCACTGCCACCACTCATCAATCAGTTTATTGTACTGTTGTGGCTTGTGTGTTGCTATGATTCTGGAAGGTATACCACGGTTATTTTAAATACCAGCAGGGTCACCCAAAGTAGACAGGTTTCAGATGAGCTTCCAGATGCAGACAGACTAGGAAGGAGAGAGAGACTACTTCCGAATATTTAGTCACTGAAAACCTTATGAATAGCAGTAAAATACTCTCAGATATATTGTCAGAAAATGAGCCCATCAGATTGGAAGGCACTCAAAATGCAAAAGAGCAGCCTTTTCCATCAAAACATATTATAATCAATCTCTCCAAAATCAAAGACAAGGAGAGAATCCTGAAAGCAGCTAGTGAAAAGAGAAGTGTAACATACAAAGGTAAGCAAATCAGATTAAGCTCAGATCTCT